TGTTGAGAGTATTTGATTCGGGGTCACTTTGTCTATGTTTTTTTTTTTTTCTTTTTATACTCCATTGATAGTCTCTTTGTAAAAAACTGCTTGAAAATTGCTTGGTGTTTTATAACTACCAACTTTCTTCACGATGACTGACTTGTCATGAAACTGCCATCTTTAACTATTGTCATTACTCTTGTCGTTTAACTGCCTACAACCGAGATTCTTGGATCGTGGGGTGTGATAAGATTACTCAATAACCGTTTCAATAACTGCTGTACCGGATAACCATAATACCTTATATTCGCTCAGATCTTGAGCGACTCGAAGGTTTAAATGAGAACAGGATCATCGCTCTGGGCGACCGTAAGACACTCTATTCGCTTAGATCCTGGGCGACTCGCAAGCTTGAGCGATAATGTTACTTTGTTCATGGGCCTCCACTGCATTCATTAATGGTCATATTTGGACTTTCATCCTGGATTTCCTAATTGTGTTTCGTTCCTTGGACTATTCAATTTGGGCTACACTTTTTGTATGTCAACAGTTACCCCCAAATATGGCAGAATTAATATCAATTATTAATCATTGCCATATTCTTCCCTTGTATTTTTCGACAATATTTGAAATTTCCAAGAATTTCAATCATTATTTCAGTTTGGCAGTAACCCTTCTATAGCCTGAAAAGGTGTAACGTTACAAATCCCTATAAACCCAATAGACATGCCACTTCGTCGTGCCATTACCTTCACGTCTTTACATCATGGGTTCTATAAAGGCCACTGTTCATCGTCTTGCTTCCTCACTATGCTTCTCAACAAACCTTCACAACGTCTGTACTTTGTATCAAATGGCGACTTCACAAACTCATTCCGATGATCCCTTCAGTTTTGAGAATTTCCAAAACCTTCTTACTAGGCTATATATAAATTCACAACTTCTTTCACAAGCCAACCCTGGCCTTCATGAGTTCTATCTAGGTTCGTCATTCAATGATGCTGAATCGGTCAAACTGGCGGCGGTGGGTCAGCTATTTCCTTGCACTAAAGATCCTCCTTTTCTGAACTTCCTGCCATTGAAGCCAATCCACGATCAAGGTATTCGTAATTGACCAAAAATTGATCCTAGTTTTCATAGATGTCATGCACGTATGGTAAATCATGG